CCTAGCCTTTCAAGGTCTGTGAGGACTCAGGACAGGAAAACCTGCATTGTAACATCATGTAACTCAATTGTGTCCCAAATTTTCTGATCAAGGAGATTATGGGGCAACAGAGGAAAGTGATTGAGGATGTGGAGTGTGCCTAAGGAGAGTCACATGGAGAGAAAATGTTCTCTCAGGCTTTCACAGAAAGCAAATTGGTTAAGCAATGTCCATGACTCATCAACATGGCTGATACTGACAAAGTAGCTACAAACTACATTACAGGGTTTCAGGGTAAATCCTGAGGGCATTTGACTGACCTTATCAAATAAAGAAGTTACATTTCTTGTTATGTAGGTCTTGCTTTATCTTGGTCTTAACAATCCAACAGGAAAGCCTGGAAACGAAGTATAAAAAGTAAAGCCATATTAATATGCTGAGTTGTGAAAGGCTCAAGTCAACAAATTCAGACATTGCCAGTCGTATGGAAAACCCATTACTATTATGGACTACTGGACTATATTGGAATATTTTGCTGAATTAACACACGTACAATATTTAAATGACAATGGAATACTCTTGTCTCAAAACTAAACAAAAAAAGGGGGATATAAATGAACGACCATTTTGTATCTATATATTCAAAATAGGATAGATATACAGCTACTTTCTCTTAATTCAATGAATAGAATGTTTTGTTCTAATAGTGTTTGTGGACAGGCTATCTTGTCTGCATCCTGTACAATGAATAACCACTAAGACAATAATATGCAATATATTAATTATTGAAACTGTCCTTCTAATTGGTTTTGAAACTGTCTCAATGCTATATGTTTCTCAATAAAATTATTTTTAAAAAGAAATTAAGAAGAAAAAGGGGAATACACAAAAGTAAGACAAAAAAAAAAAGTAAGTTTTAACTGCTACTCTCCATAGACCAGCAGAAATGCACAATACAATTACCCAAGCCGTCCTGCATACATTTCATTCTTTAGGGTTTATTTGCTTGGCATGCAGATGGGACAATGGCACTGCGTTGCTATAACCCTACCAGAGATGACACCTGGTATAACTTGGCAGAAAGGGCACTTATGCTACTCCTTCTTCCTTGTTCTAGATATGCATGACATTTGGCCAGTATTGGCTCTTGAGTGATCCCTGCTTGAAGATAGATATCCATGAATGCAGCTACCAAGCCACTGGGTAGGAGGTTGGCATCTTCAATAGGGCCTCTCCGTTGACTGAATCACTAGCCTATAAGGCTGTATATAAATCTGTCAAATACTTTTCTATGAGGAAATAGCCATGTGAAGAGAGAGTTAGGTGAGGAAACTGTAGGGTGAGAGAACTTTGTATTTTATTGATAACAACCTCTTGTATTGCTTTTATCTTACTTGACCAGATCACTTTAAAAAGATCGACAGAAATCTCAGGTGCATGGACCTTGGCCTTATGGACGGCCCATCCACATACTGCTAGACGCCAGCAGATGCCACAAGCAGTGTGTTCTAGAAGTGCAATAGAAACAGGAGTAATATAATTT